GTCAGCAGCCAGTCTCACTTCCTTTTTATCCTGTGTCCCTGTTTGTCTACCAGCCATCTCATTGTTCAGGTCTGCTCACTTCCTTAAACTTGATATGGATAATGTAGAACATAATAGTCTGCTTCCCTGCCTGAAATAACATAAACCGTTGATAACATATAAATTACTCCAGTTCCTAAAGCTTCTTGCTTAGTGGAAATATTGAAATCTGCTCTCTCTTTTAAACGTTACGTCACAATGCAAACTTCTTGTCCTCTTCCCTGTATCCATTCTCGTGGCACACGACATAACTACAATGGAAGTGCACATACTCATCATATTCCATTTTCACAACTGTAATACATTTAAAACTTTTAACAGAAGATAAATTCCTTGGATGCCTATACGTACTTGGCCAACTAAGCAGATTCTGATTCTTTCTCCGTAGCCTGCATATCTTCAGCCCATTTTGGAGCCTGTTGCTTAAAGGAAAATTCCACCTGAATAAAAATAATAAATGAATACATCTTCATAAAGCATAAAACATGGATGAACATAGATTGTTCCTGGATGCAGGATAGATGCATCCCAGCCACCCTCCCTACTTACCTGAATTGCAATGTTCTCCCCACAGCGTTGTGTATATTTTTTAGTCCAGTGCGGCTGTACCATGGCTCCAACTGCACACAGCACCGCACTTGAAGTCCACTGTTTGCTTTCTTCAGCCCCATGAAGGTATTCCAAACAGATTTGGGGCTAGAGGAAGAGTTTGCAGGAGATTGAGCATTGCACTTACTATCCTCTGCTATGCAGGCTCCAATGCAAACATTTTCAGTGTGGGTGGATTTATAATTTTTTTTTGCTAAAGGTGAAATATGCCTTTAAGCATATATATCTGTATATAAGAACTGACAGATGTGCTGCAAAAGTAAAAGTGTAAATGTAAAAGTATTATTTATTTCTCTTTTGCATAGGAGCCAGTAAAACATTGCAACTGCGATCAGTGGATCAGGGGGGTAATGCTCTGGTTCCTGCAGACTCTTCCTCCTGTCCATGTCCATACTGAGGTACAGACATTCAGTAACATGAACGGGAGGAAGAATGGATTGACTACAATTGCGGTGACAAGTCCATCTGCTGCAGTGGCTGATGGGTACTTTCTCCATTCACAGGTCCTGTCATAGGATCTGTGAATGGGTAACACGGCTGTATGGACAGAGCCACACACAGCTAAGCCAAATTCAAACTTGTAAACAAGCCTTAGGGAAGGGGGAACCCCAAAATTCAGGTAAGTGCGGGAAAGGGGTTTGGGGGGTTGCAAAATGATCGTGTTTTATGTTATACCCCAAAAATGGGTGTAACATGAAACATGGTCAGTAAGGTGAACTTAGCTTTTAAATCATCCACCAATCTACAAATGCTTCTCTCTGCCCGTCCCTCTACTGCCGGGGTGGGGAACTCCGTCCCTCCAGCTGTGCTTTAACTACAAATCCAAACATGTCTCTGCCTCTGGGAGTCATGCCTGTATCTGTCAGTCTTGCAATGCCTCATGGGACTTGTAGTTCCACAGCAGCTGGAGGGCCGGAGTTGCCCGCCCCTGATCTACTGTCCCCTAATTACACAGACAATACATTCCAAACCTCAAATCTTAACCTATAAACTGCCCTCAAATGTTGCCTGTCAATTGATTTTCTCACTACTTAAAGCTAAACACCAGGCAGTTATGAAAGACACGCATTAATGCAGCTCTGTAAGGCCTCATTCACACAGCTGAGCGTCGGCCCGTACAGATCCATGCAGCGTGCCCGGCCGTATCAGGCTGTTCCTGGGAAGCACAGGTGGGGCGTGTGATTGTAAGCAGCAGCCTGTTCTTCCCTATGGGAGTACACTGCTGTATGCCACCGTACACTACCCCGAACTGCACATCCTTGTGGGTGTGGGTATCTGTACTCAGACACCCGCACCCGCATGGATGTGCAGCTCGGGTAAGCATACGGTCGCGTTGTCCCATAGAGAAGAACAGGCTGCTGCGTACAATCACACGCAGCACCCGTCCTTCCCGGGAACGGCCCGATACGGCTGCGCACGTCGCGCGGATCTGTACGGGACGACGCTTAGCTGTGTGAATGAGGCCTAATCAATAATACATCCTTAAATTCAATGCATGCAGTGTAAGTACCTGAATTCGACCAGGCATCAGTCTCTTGCAGTTCCTGTACAGCAGGACTGGTGTGTGAGAGGAAGAAGCAGTAAAAGGAGCCAGATAGGTTATGTGCTAACAAAAAGCATGCTGATAGGGGGAGAAAGCACCGTGACATAGAGATGAAATCATGACTGTGCTGGTTCTCCTTTCACTGTCCAGCCACTGGCTGAGGGCAGGTTCAGAACAACCTCGGAGGAAGTGGGTTTAATGATACTGGCCTTCAGACTTAGGACAGAAAAAAGTACAGCGTGGTAAATCTCTGGACTGAAGGTGACTATTGACTTTTTATTTTGTTACTTTTGGCTGGAGTTCTGCTTTAATACTATCACAAGCACACACTCCACTCTGCACATGACCCGTCTTCCACATTAATTGCCTCTTTAGAATCTTGCCTTCAGGATTCCGTGTATGTCTCTCCCGTGCCCCAAAAATCTCATACACATGCCTTTGGTACAAGTTGTCCAATAAGGCCCCCACTCCCCTGAGTGCAGCCCACGTGGAGAAATACTTAACTTTGTCCCCATTCCAGAGAATCGGAAACCCATGAACAAACATGTAATATATTGCAGCTTACCTGTCCTTAGATGTGGTGGCTGCACCAGTATCTTTTTTTTTATTTTTAGGATTGTTCTCCATTATTTTCCTGCCAGTAACACACTTCCTGTCCTAGGGTGACAAAACTCAACCATTGTACTGCATCTATGATGGAGCAGCATGGTCAACCAAGGGCAGGAAGTACGTTAGGACTACAAAGTACCTCTTCTTTCCCCACTTCCATAACTTGAGGTGGGGGTTCTGCACTTTAGAGATAAACTGGGCAGCAGGGCCAACCAAAGGGTAGGCAGAAAAGTGGCCAGGTCGGTGTTTCAGGAGAGGCGTGCTACCTATGTTGCTGATGTAGTTCAGAACTTATGGAGGGTGGTGCACTTTGGCCTTTTTGCCTTGGGTGATTGAGTGCTAAAGGACCTTGCCCCATCACTGCGGGCATGGCTAGCAACAATGTTCTGAGATTTTCAGCGCTGCGTTGTCAGATCACTACATGAATTTAGAAGCTCAATGGATTTCGGTCAGAATCAACAGGTATAGTGTTTGCACATAAAGCTGAACACAGGGATAAGCAGATGTTGTCCAAATACAAGAGTTATGTGTATTCTTCCTTGAATCTTGAAGAGCTTTGTGTATTTCTTCCAGATCTGTGCAGTACTGCAGTGTGAAACTTGTAGCTTCCTGTAAGGCTGGGCACACACCTTACAACCATCGCAAGACTTCTGTCTTGCGATGGTTGTAAGGTATTTTAAAAAAACGTACGATCTGCCTCTCTTGCATAGGCAGATCGTATTTGCGATGATCGCAAGCCACACCCCCTGAGGGGCGGGCTTCCGATGACCGCAATGCTGAACGGGCAGTGTGCGCTTGCGCACACCGGCCCGTGCGGCTGTTATCGTACGGACATGCCACAAACCCGCCGAACATCGTACGATGCTCGGTGGGTTTTCGAACATGTCCGTAAGTTTAAAGTCGTGCGACCTTACAGTAGCAGAGGTCGCACGGCTTCCACACACCTTACGATCATCGTACGATCGCGGGATTTCCCGCGATTCCCGTACGATAATCGTAAGGTGTGTGGGGACCCTAACAAAGACTGGTCACTGCTGATCTCTCTCGTTGTGCAGGGTGACTGGTCTGGTCTCCGCCCCTTCTTTAGTCTTCTGCAGACAGCCTGTAGTGGGTGTAGTCTGCTGGGACCCTCCCACAGCTCTTCTCTCTGCACAGCACTGTGATGATGTCACTGCTACTTTTGCAAAGCAAGAACTGGGCTTACAAAAGCATTTGGTGCACACAAAGTGAATTTATATCGACGGTGGCTACTGATGGATATATATCAGGGGTAGGCCAGCTCTGGCCCTCCAGCTGCTGTGGAACTACAAATCCCATTAGGCACTGCAAGACTCTGGCAACTCTAGGCATGACTTCCAGAGGCAGATTCATAATGGGACCCCTGGTATATATATATGAATGTTTTTTGTGCCTTTAAACAAAATGTTCTTGGTGGCCTATTTACCAGACCCAAAAGGGAATAAAGAGAAGTTCATTGTGAGGGTTCACATGCACTTTCAAATAGCAATCAGCTGTTCAAGATTTTCCAAGGACATTCCCTGCTTTTGAGGTTTTGTCCTTGCAAACGTCAATAGCTGCCAGCGATGACTATATTGTAACTTGTAATTTTTTTTTTGTTCACGTGCCCTTCAGCTTTTTTTTTTTTATTATTCCTTCCGATTCACCTAGCTGGAGGCTCAGCGGTAGTATCCTTGTAAATGATTTTACAATGCGGGCGGCTGCAGTTTTTAAATGCATGCGCTGTCTTTGTATCGCACACAAGGGCAGTGACAGCGTGACTACCTGGCGTACTCAGAAGTCAGGCCGTGTTGTGTTGCAGAGTGAGACAAGGGATTGTTGTGTGGTTGTGTTTGTCACTGGTATGTGAAGGTCGCTGTAGGGGGGTGGGGTCCGGGAGGTAATACAGGTAAGATTTCGGCAAGTCCGGGTAGTGCTGACTTCTTACTGTCAGCAGCACCGCCCTCCACAACCTGTTTCAGGATCACTATCTAGTTCCTGTACACTCCCCCCTGCTGTTTTCTTTTGCATTGACAGTACGCAGCCCTTCAGTGCCAAGGGTACCCCCTTGTACAGCACTGGCATCTGGTCTGAGAAGTGATCACCTGCCTGTAATGGTAAGGTAGTAGCTACGCCAATGACTTTGTATTAACAGAGAAATAATAACTGGTGACTAATGATTTGTCCTGTGTTTTTCCTGCAGCTCCTGAGACGAGCCCTGTGGAGTGCTGGAGCTGTAAGTATTGCTCAACATTGACACTGACAGCGTCTTCTTCACATCTCCTTCATAACAATGCAATTGATATCACAATGGTTGATGATGTGACTGTCAACTAGAACCCCCTTTAAATTGTTTAAAGAACTCCATGTTGTTATGAAACTAACCCTCTCCACGCACTGCAAGGGTGAAGTGCTCGTTTAAAGCAGATATGCTCACCTGATCCTCGGTCCTGCGGCAGTCAGCGCTCACCTTCCACCCCTTCCACTCCGGCTCCCTTGGCATCCTCACGTCTTATGCAAGTCAATGGACCTATATTAGACATGATGACTTCACGGGTACTTAGACCGCCAGAGCCCAGGGTAGAAGAGGCTGCAGGGACCGGTATAGCAGCCAGGTATACCAGGAGTATATTTTCTACATTTGTGCCCCTAGATAAAAATGAGCAGTTAACCCTTGCAGTGCAGGGGTAACCTCACAGCAGGGGTTAGTTTTTTAAAAATCTGGAGTTCCTCTTTAAGGTGACCTTTCCAGATGTTGTGCTTTCTTGAACTCTACATCACCTCCTCTCCTGCTTTTTTCATACAAATGATCCATTTAAGCCCCTTTTATTTATACTTCTTCCTATTGTGGGATCATTTTGCAGCGCTGGCTGCTCAAAATGTATATATTGCAGGTACTTATATAGCGCGGTCAATTTACATTGAGCGCTGTACATACTATTCATCCACATGAGTCACTGCCGTCAAGTCTGTAATCCATATCTCACATGCATACATACACATACTAGGGCCAGTTTACCTACCAGCATATCCTTGGAGAGTGGGAGGAAACCCATGAATGCACAAGGAAAGCATGCAAACTACATGCAGATAGTGTCCTGACCAGAATTCGAACAGGGAACGCCCCCTCCAAGTGCTGCAAGTGCTTACCCCTTAGCCACTTATAGATGTCAAGAATCTCAATTTCTGTATTGATGGGAACTGTTGAATACATAATGTACTGTAGGTGTGAACATTGGTGGTGGCTTTACTACATAGTCCCTTTATTATTTTGCGTGAGAGGTGTACTCATCCTTCAAGCCCCACCCACAAGACATTTGAGTTAAAGGAGAACTATGAGGTGAGTGCTTTTCACTCACCTCATAGTTCTAGCCGACCTGTGACAATGAGACTGTCACAGGTCGGCTCAGTAGATCGGGAGGTGAGCGAACATATACCGGCATTCGCTCACCTCTCGATCCTGTCACGGCAGAGGGCTGGATTCCCCCCTCCCCGCTCCGATCCGCCAGCGCTGACTGGCAGGACGGACGGGGGGAGGGGGCGGGTACAGCTGACTTTGCCTCTAGATAGGCAGAGCCAGCTGTTACTCACGCAGCTGGGCGGCTCTCGACATCGATGTCGGGATCCGCTCCAGCTGCGGCGTCTCAGTATACCGCGAGCTGTAGCTCGCGGTATACTGAGCTTAGGGTAACAGGAGGACGCTAGTTTGTGTCCTCCCTTTACCCTAAGGAGAACTATGGGGAAAAGCCCTGACCCCATAGTTCTCCTTTAAGAAAAACTGTACAGTATGTCATTTAAAAATATGGACGACAGATATGGCATTTCTTCTCGTACAAACGTATTTTAATTATGTAGCGTTTCATAAAGATCATTGTTCACCAAGCATGCCCAAGTGTTTGTTATTGTATTTCATGTACCCCTTTAAACATGCAAATGTAATGTTTTTAGCTATTGTGATAAATGAGGAGAGGAGAGAGAGGAGAGGGGAAAACCATGGGGCACCTCATATGCAGATTGTTTATTGGGGTGTCCTTGTTGCTCTGATGATGTGACACCTGTGAAGTCAATAAACATTGACTTTTCTACATGCTGTTGTGCTTGTGACCTTTTTTGAATTTATTGGATTTATTTTGCGGAGGCATCCACGGTCATTTCAGCACCCACCCTACAATTAGGGGTTTCTATCCGGTCAGGAGTGTGATGGGTGTGTATGTTTTTTGAACTGTACATAGAAGGGGGTGCAAGATAACACCATGGCACAGACAAACATCAGGGGTCACGGGCAGCAATATAAGAAATTATGGACACTGGCACTCCAAAGTAGAATAACGTCTTTTATTGGCAGAACAAGGGCAGAACAAGTCTTGTCACTTGTTCTGCCTGATGAAGGGGATCCTGTGTGACCCCGAAACGTTGCAATAAGTGTATTGTTGCATGAAACGTCAATAAAAGATGTTATTCTATTTTGGAGTGTCCATAATTTCTTATACTTTATTCAGATGGTGGCCATCCGTCGACTACTGATGCACCCAACCTATCATTACGGATTAAGCGGTAAGGAGTGCAATGGGTACACGGATTTTTACGGGCAGCAATATGGCGCAACAGAGGATGAATCCAGAGAAGCAATATGGCAAGGCAAATAATGAATGCAGGAACAAAAGGAGGCAATACAGAACAGCAAGGATAAGTCCAGAGTGACAGAGGTAGAAATTCCGGCACATACTAATGGCAAGATTTCGTACAGCAATATGGCACAACAGAGCATAACGGCACAGCAAACACAAGGAAGGAGGGCACGCTGTGCCAAAGAGAGGAAACTTGCAGCCTGCATTTGATAACCTCACATGTAGGTCACAGCAGAAGGTCAGGCATGAGGCGCCCTGCAGGCATGTGGTGTGGATTGGGTGAGCAGCGTGCAAGATGCCAGGCCGAGAATGGTGGCTCTAGATGTATGTGGGGTGGTGGGAGATATTCAGGGTGTGCGGGAACCGGGCGCCCATGATATCCACAAAGCTGTCCATACAACAGTAGGATTTCTTACAAAAACTTCATTTTTGGGACGTTCGTTCTATTTTTTTTATTTATAATGGGGTCAAATCGACCATGGTTTTTGACTATAGTGATGAAAAAAAATCAAAGGAGCAAGATGGAAATTTTTTGTCGAACTAACAAAATTCTCTCAGTGAATGTGGTTTTCGTTTGAGAAACTCCATTTATTCCAAAGTCGAATGTTAAAATCAAATGAAAATTCTCTGATGGTATCATTCGTACGGAAACCTACCAATGTATGGCCAGCCTAATTGTGCATAAACAACTTCCATTTCCTAATGGTTTTAAAAGCACAGTCAGGATCTATTTTATATGTGTACTCATACTATTTGATGACTCTGTACTATTATGATTGCTTTTTAAAAAGCAAAAGAGCCCCTGACCCCTGCCTATTCAGAGCAAAGTGAAAATGTCTGCTGACTCTACTTACCCATCTGCACTCCCTCTCCATCTCCTCATTCCATCGGAGCCCTCACTCAATTATGCTAAACAGTTGCTGACAGTACTTGGGCCAGAGCCATGCAATTGGGGGGGGAGGGACATCATTAACCTGAGTAAATTCTGACACAATCCAACCTGAGTTTATTCAGAGTGGCCTCCTGCAGCAGGGAGACATGTTATGGAGTGTGGTTCCATGAGTATACCTTGCTGTGGTGTCTGTGAAGGTTCTCATTTATTCAGGTTATGGTATAGCTAGTAGTAGTTGGCTATATTTTACTGGACTTGTTCTGTAATGTTGAAGATGTTTCATAGCTTGTCCAATCTGCTTCTTCAGTTCTAATGAAGTGTCTCCCACCTCCCATCCTGTTCTTGGACAATCCACATCTGCCTTGACACGTTCCATGGTCATTGGATTAAGGCAAGGGTAGGAAACCTCGGCATTCTAACTGTGCTAAAACTACAAATACCATTATGCCTCTGAAAGTCATGCCTGTGGCTGTCAACGTCTTGCAATGTCTCATGATATTTGTAGTTCAGCAACAGCTGCTGGAGTACCGAGGTTGCCCTGACCTGTCTGTGGTACCTGTGCAGATATAAATGCTGCACTCTGTTCCTGAAGTGGCTTGGAGATGGTACGGGGCAGGTTATCAGCAGACACTGTCACATTTTACCCAGGTGGGCAGATGGGAGTGCCTCTTTATATACCCACTGGGGTACACAAAATCAATGGGATATTGGAAAATGAAGCAAATGTCAAAATTAAAGAAAAACTATGAGGTGAGTGATTTCCACTCATCCCCATAGTTAGAGCCGACGTGTGACATTGAAACTGCCACACGTGTGCTCTATTGACTGGGAAGAGAGCGAACACACTAGCAAGCAGTGGATCTATGCAAAAATATTTTAAAAAATAGAAAAGTTACCAAATAGGCAAATAATTACCTCTGTCTCTGCCTCTCACTCCTGGCTGTAAAATCCAGCTTCTGGAGTGGCTGTGCAGGGGGCTGTGTGTGGGCGCATGCGCAGTGGAGATCACAGTGAATGCACGCAGCCATGAGCGTGCACGCTGGACAGACTCCCTGGGACAGGAAGAGACAGCATTCTGCACTGGATCAGGGACCAGCACCAGCGCTGGAGGGACTACTTAAAACGGCTGGAAGGAAGAAGATGATCGGATCAAGAAGCATCACTTAAAGGAGAACTATGGGGTTAAGTCTTTTGTAAATCTATTGTTCAGTGCATTCTATATGTAGTATATAGTACATGTACATATAGAGTGCCTGCAACAATACATTTACAATGATCCTCTGCTAACATGAATGGGTTAAATGATCCATAGTACAGGGCTACATACAGATCATTTAATCCATTAACTCCCGATCTACTGAGCCGACCTGTGACAGTCTCATTGTCGCCGGTCAGCTAGAATTCAATGCACCACCACGCCCCCTCCTGCCCCAGAACGCTGGGGGAAGTTTCTTAGCGATCGCGGTAGGTTGAATTCAATGCACCGCCACGTCCCCTCCCGCCCCAGAATGCGTGGGGAAATTTCTTAGCGATCGCGATGCGTTCCAGCAGCTACCGATCTGGAACGCACACGCTTTCAGTGTGAACAGATGATGAATAAGCCCCATGCTTCATAAATGTGTTGGTGAATTAATCAGCAAAGCTACATAATGGAATCCTTGTGTCTACCCCATCATACAGTCTCTGTCCTCTAGCTGCATTCTCTGTGCCCAGTTG